AGTATGTATTTGTTCAGTAAATAAATAGACAAATGGAGACAACTGAGGTGACAAAGAAGTTGTGGGAAGCACGCATAAAAAGTTGAATTTGACCTTGTTAAAAGGAATGTGGCCCTTAAGAGACAAGCTACAAAAAGAGAAGAAAAAACAATCAGAAAACGGACCCTTGGAGAATGCCTTTTTAATTTGGGATATGGGGGGGGAAATAAAAAGGTAAGAGAGTGAAAGGTAATTAGAGGGAGAGGAAAAGTACCAAGAGGGTATTGTTTTACATTGGCAGCAACGTAGAGAAGGGATTGGAGGAGACCAAGACTAATAACAGGAGAGAGAGAGAGAGAGAGAAAGAGAGAGAGAGAGAGATGAGGAAGCAAGTTTTTGATTAATAAATTCAGAAAGGCTAAGAAAGCTTGATCTGAGAAAAAGATGATTGGCTTTAGTGAGTAGGAGATCATTACTGACAAATGATAGGGAAATTTCAATAGTAAATTCAGGGTCAAAATTTGCAATAGGTTAATGTTAGAAGTTTAGTGATGAGAGAAGAGATATTTTCAGTGGGCTCCAGATTTTCAAGTCAGGATTGCTTGGTGATACAGCTTTTATCAGACTTCGCACAAGCTGCAAAGGGGCTGTCACCATTCCTGCTTATGAAGCAGCCAATGCTATTTCATTGAAGTGAATGGCAATTTAGTATAAAAAAAAAGTAAAACAAAAAATAAATCATGCCCTGTTCTTTTTCTGCCTTTCTACTAAATAACCATGCAAGGTTCTCCAGACTCTGTCGAGTATGCTACGTTAGCAGCACCAATGAGAAGAAAGATAGGAGGTGGATGCACCATCAGCATTGTTATTGGCTTATATCATCTGGGCTATAATAAAAAGTGGAATAATCAGCAAGTTACTTACACCCAGGAGATGATAATTTCTGCTGTTTTGACCTAAAATGTCTTTTGAAAGGACTTCCCTTTGCTGAGCTTCTCAAAGTTGATATTTAATATTCTATTAAAGTAGAACTCAGTAAGAGCATCTTTACCTACCTTTTGCAATCAGTTTTGAGTCTTAAGACATGAATGAAATTCTAATACTAATCGGCATAATCATTTAGAAAGTTGTAATAGTGTTTCATAAGGTGATTGTACGGTGATTGTACGGGGCATGGAACTGGAGGTGAAACTGATCATTTCTGCTCCTTTCTCTGCTTCTGAAGATGATGTAGGAAAAGAATAAATATATGTGGGGTGCTGTTATTATCTAACTAATTTTAGGAAGCTACTTTTGGAATTATTCCACCGCTTGTGACAAATTATTAGATATTCTCAGTGATAATAAATCTTCTGTCTTTGAAGATGGATATAAGTTAGGGAAATGGCTTTAAAATTTGGAGGCATAGCTGGGAAATAAAGTTGAGATCACAATGAGAAATTTAATTCTAATCAAGTGAAGAGTAATTTCAAGGCACTGCACCTAAGATTCTTGTGTGTTACGTCAACAGGGCCAAGTATTTGTGGTATATTGGGGGAAGCATCAGTGTTAGAATGCAAAAATACTTGGGTATTTAGGGGATGAAACGTTACAAGTGTAGCACTAAGTTTTTTGATTTTATTTTGTTTTGTTTTATCTTAAGATGATCGCTGCAAACTGGATAAGCAAAATACCTCAGCTCAGGTCAGCATTCTGATTGATTCCTGGTTGTAAATCTCAATGATCTCCTCATCATATTTGGGGACAGAGACAGGGACTGACCTAAGGTAAAGAGAGGGAGGTGAGCAGTGTTGTAGAAATGACTGTTAATGGTATATAGAAAAAGGACATTAAGAGAGAAATATCTAGAAAAAAGGAAGATACAAATAGACATTTGAATATTTACCATGAAAAGATAAAAGAGGGTTTGGAAGGACCAGGGATAGGCAGGAAAGAAAAGCCATTGTTACAAAATTATGCTCATTGGAGAATTAGCTGAATTTTCCGAAAAAAAGTGCCTTTGGAATCAGATGAATTATAATTTCTTGTGAAGTCTTATACTGCTTGTGCCTGTTGTTGGGCCAAAGCCAAGTGTTTCCAGATGGCCACAATAACCAGGAGGCCCCTTGACAACTCACTTCAGAGTCTAAAACAAATGGAAAATGAAAGGTATGACTCCTTATTACGATTGTCTATGCATTCACACAGGAGTGTCCTTTATCAAGCATTCTGCTGATGCCATGGCTGTTGTTCCCATCACAGAAGCTATTTCACTTACGATGAGAAGAAGAGGTCTCATTAATAAATCATATCACCTGATATTCCTATAGTATTTAGATGACATGCCAACACTTCACCGGAAAATGGAATAAAATAGACCCAGAGAGAATTTTGTAGCAATTTCCCCCTTTTTATATGTCATATGGAATCATCAGTTTCTGAACAAACTTGAGATTTAAGATGTACATGTCAGTAAACATATATCCATGTATAAAATAAGAAATCACCACAGAATTTGCCTGGAAGGGTTTTAATAATGAAGGTTTTTTTTTTTTTTCCACTTATGTGAAGAATGAGCCCAGGCCAACACATTGAAGTTATTTTCAACTTCTCTACTCAGACAAGGACAAAAATATGATCATAAGTAAAGGGCAGAAACCTCATCTCTATTATATGTTCAAGTTTGAAATGAATGCAAAGAAATATATTCAGTTTCATTAATATGAGATATATTGAGATATATTAGACTACTCTGCAGAAGATTGGTAATAAAGGAGGAAGATGCCAATTGGTACATTACAGATAAAACCTAGAAATCCGAGAAAACTTATGTTAGAAAGACAGAAGTGGGTTGAAGATTAGTAAATATATAAAGGAAAATGGGAATATTTGATAAATAAAAACCACTCAAAGAAATAGTCAGTCTTGCTTTCCTTTCCTTGCATGTCATTTAATACTTGCTAAAAATTATTGCCTATTATTTATTGATTGTCTGGAATTGGTTATTAGAATCTGTATGTGTTGTAGCAATGCTCTTATTCATGAAGCAAATCTATTTTTCTACAGATATTCTATTTTTGAAAGGAAATAGAATGAAATGGAATTGCATTAGTTTTATCCTTTAAATGGGATTAATTAATTTGAAAGGATGCTTGGTATTATGCTCTGGCTTGTTAGATTATGTTACTGGATAGCTTATTTTCATTTCCTTGGATTGAAATGACCCTTGAGATTTAAAGAAAATATCAGCTATTTAATCGTTTAAAGCTATGTGGTTGACCTGAATTGGTGATCTTAAGCATTATGGCATGTGTGGTTTCTATAGGGCACTTCAGAGGAATCAGTCTTGGACAAAGTAACTATTACTTCTCAGATATTTTCAGATTTGTGTTTCAAAAAATTATTCTGGCTTTATTATAGAGAACTGAACTAAAGGGGAATATTGGATGAAAGAAGAAATTTGGGCAGGAATTCCAATAATCCATGTGGGAAATCAGTATTACCCATTAATTAAAAGCATGGACTTTGATTCCAGATGCCTAGGTTTGAACACAGCATCTTTCACTTACTAGCTGTGTGACTTGGGGCAAATCACTTAATCTTGTGTTTCAATTTTCCTATCAAAATCCCTATTTGGGAATAATAATAGTTCCTGCCTCAAGGGTGATCATGAGAAATAAATGAGTTAATATGCCATAGAACATGCCAGTCACAAGGCAAGTACAACGTAAGAATAGGTTGTTAATGAACTTGGATGATTGAGATGGAGCCACAAACAAGTGGACCACATTTGAATATATTTAGGTATTAGGATAAACAATAATTAGTGATTGACTACGAGGGAGAAGGTCGGAGGAGGTATTGTCATATGCCATTTAGTATATATCATTAGAGGGTAAGGGATTTTGGAGTGATAGGGACTTTCAAATAAAATATTACCCTTTTTTTAGGGATTATGGTCCTAAATCAGAATATTTGGTAATGTTCTTTGTTTAGTATGGGTAAGGGAAGTCCATGAGAAAGATTAAAATTCGGGTTTCTGAACTCCATTTAATTGCTACTTGACTGAGAGATCCAAGGTTAGAGATCTCTTTCTGGTGATATGTCTCTTTGTGTATGTTGTGAGTCTTGCATTTGGTTTTTCTTAAAGAACTTTGGGTCAGCATTAGAACCCTTCATAAGCCCTCTGACCTTCTAGTATGAAGCATCATTAACACAATAAATCCTTTTAAAGAATCGGATTTTAGGGGCTGCCTGGGTGGCTCAGTGGGTTAAGCCTCTGCCTTCAGCTCAGGTCATGATCTCAGGGTCCTGGGATCGAGTCCCACATTGGGCTCTCTGCTAGGCAGGGAGCCTGCTTCCTCCTCTCTCTCTCTCTCTCTCTCTCTATTTGTGATCTCTCTCTGTCAAATAAATGAAATCTTTAAAAAAAAATCAGATTTTAGAGGGAATGAGATGTTATGAATGTGTATAAATGCTGGGTAACTGTAGTTGGTTCTTCATGTAATTAATGATTGTTACTTACACTTTTTTTTTAGAGATTTATTTATTTATTTGAAAGCGAGACAGAGTGTACATGTGTGAGTGTGGGGAGGGACAGAAGGAGAGAATCCTCCATTAGACCTCCCATTGAACATGGAGACCACACTGGAGCTCCATCTCAAGACCCTGAGATCATGACCTCAGCCAAAACCAAGAGTTCGTAGCTCAACCAAACTGAGCCACCCAGGAGCCCCTACATTTTTTTTTTTTCAATGTGGCTATCCTAAAATAGTTTTCCACTCACATGGTTTGTTTAAAAAAAATAATGTATTTATTTTCTTGTAGCCAAAATTACTTTTTAATGCTTTATAATTCTTTGAATTCCTCCAAGAGAGAGCTAAGTAAATAAGTGCTCAGACAGGATGGATCATTGATATAAATTCTGTATTTTTCCATTTTGATTATTTTATGTTTCATATAAAAGAGCATTAAGTTTTAAGCAAATCTACGTTACGGTATGTCAATTTCAGTGATTTATCCTTTCTATTTTTCCTATTCAGTCTGCTCCCAGTTTTCAAGAGGAGTCTATGCTATTTTTGGATTTTATGACAAGAAGTCCGTAAATACCATCACATCATTTTGTGGAACGCTCCATGTCTCCTTCATCACTCCCAGCTTCCCAACAGATGGCACACATCCATTTGTCATTCAGATGAGACCTGACCTCAAAGGAGCACTTCTTAGCTTGATTGAATACTATCAATGGGACAAGTTTGCATATCTCTATGACAGTGACAGAGGTAAGTGACAATATCCCTATGTCTTTGTAATGGGTCAGATTAAATGCCTACACTTGACACTTATATGAGATGTTATGGAGCAACACAGGCCAGGTGTGTTAAAGTCCAAGGGTCACTTGATTTGCTTTTTCTGTGTAAATGAATAATGCAATTTGAAAATTGGGAAACGTATTTAGAGTTTAAAAAAAAAAGTTGTGAATGTTCATTTTAAAAATAAAGATTCTGTCAACCCAATACCCAGATGATCAGTTGTAATGTAAATAGTACCTTCTGAGATTCGGAGCCAAGACACTATTAGTCGAAGGTCACTGAAGTGACTGCCTTGAAAGTTGGTCAAAGTGAAACTGAATAGATATGTAAATAAGGACTTCTAGAGAAATTTGTAACAATTAAATATTTTCACATGCAGAAGTTTTATGAGAAACGTATGACCGTTATTAACCTTGCTTTAAAATGACATCCCTGAATCTCAGAGAAGTTAAAGGACTTGCTCATGTTCCGTTTGAGCAGCAGTACAATTTGACCCAGGTCTTCTGACAGCAGACCCATGCATTTTCTTAATTCTAGGTTTATGATAAAATGTTATTGATTATCATACTAATTGGATAGAATCTTGGCTCATTATGCTAAAGTTGTATTTTCAGAGGGAGTTACTTCCTTCGTGTTTTCCACATCTCTTGTTGCAAAGTTTATTATTAGCAGATCTGCTTGATGTATGTGTCATAGAATCCCAGATGTTCCTTTTAAAAGTTTTATTTATTGACTGATTGATTTGAGTATAGTTGATACACAACGTCACTGTAGTTTCAGGTGTACAACATAGTGATTTCAACAACTCTGTACCTTGTGCTTTGCTCACCACAATTGTAGCTCCCATCTGTCGCCATACAACACTATGACAATACTACTGGCTACATTCTTTTATTCCCAAGACCTATTCATATCATAACTGGAAGTCTGTAAATCTGACTCCCCCTCACCCATTTGCCCAATACCTCACCCTTCTCCCCTCTGGCAGCCAGCAGTTTGTTCTCTGTATTCTCTGTTTTCTCTATTTTATAGTTTGTCCTCTGTATGTATAGGTCTGGTTCTGCTTTTTTTAAAATAGAGTCTGATTCTGTTTGTTTATTCATTTGTTTTGTTTTTTAGGTTCCACATATGAGTGAAATCATATGGTATTTGTCTTTCTCCTTCTGTCTCTTTCCGTCATAATAACCCCTAGATCCACCCATGTTGTAACAAGTGGCAGGATCTCATCCTTTTTTATGGCTGAATGATAGTCCATTGTATATATACCACATCTTACTTATCCATTCACCTATTAGTCAAGACTTGGGCTGTTTCCATATCTTGGTTACTGTAAATAAATCTGCAATACGCATAGGGGTGCGTAGATCTTTTCAAATTAGTGTTTTCATTTTCTTGAGAATCTTGGATGTTCTTAAATATTTCTGGGCCCAAGATTTGGCTTCAGTGGGTGTACTTTCTCAAGCTGAAGGAACATTTTGTGCCTGTTTGCATATGTATTTTTCTAAAGACAGTACCCATAATCAAACTCAAAAAGATTAAGAACTGCTATTGTACAAGTACCTAAGTACCAGATTGGGCTTCCTTCAGCAGCTTGCTTCCTGGAGTATTTAAAGGTTCCAATGAAACCCAGAAGCCTGTTTCAACCAAGATAGGGCACCTTGTTAACCCACAAGGGCAGACAAGAAGAGAGCTAGCCATCAGTCAATTCGCCATTGATTAGTCTGTAGTCATTTGCTGCAGCAATCCCATCTCTAGTGCTCAAGCTAGGTGTCTCATTCTCTGCCTTGTCCTCCGAGTCCCTGGAATGAGAACACTTGGTGGAAAAGCCTGTCAGCACTCTACAAACTGAAAAAACGTTGCTATGTCAACAACTTCTCCCCCCTGCTTTGGGAAGGGAGAGCTTTGATATTCCTATGAGGAATGAAAAATTAAAACAGAACCATTTAAAGAAAATATGGATTGTAATGTGCTGGATGATTCCGAAGCATACTTACTATTACTGTGATAAAAGGCTTACAAAACTGACCTTATTCATAGGTTTTCCTTCTGCTCTCTGCTATGTCCTTTAGAACTCTTGCATTAATAAAACTAGTCTACAATCTGCGAGTATGCTGAATGTCTCTTTCACCCTTGCACTCTGTTGGCAGTGATTTCTACCAGGGAAATATATTTTATCTCTGGACGCTCTTTTTCATTGTCTTTGTTCCAGACCAGGCCACCACCACATGTTCCTTCTCTTCCCTCTCCACTTCCACACTTGTTTCTCTTTTGGGCACCTGGGTAGCTCATTTGGCTAAGTGACTGCCTTCGGCTCATGTCATGATCCCAGAGTCCCAGGATTCAGTCCCGCCCTGGGCTCCCTGCTCAGTGGGGAGGCAGCTTCTCCCTCTGACCCTACCTCCTCTTGTGCTCTCTCTCGCTCTCTCTCTCTTCACTCTCTCTCAAATAAATAGAATCTTTAAAACAAAACAAAACAAAACAAAACAAAACAAAACAAATAAAACTTCTCATTAAAATGAAGGTAAAATTGAAAATCCCTAACATGGCTCTCAAGTCTGGTTCCTGCCAATTTATGCTACTGTCCTGCTCACTTACTGAACTAAATCCATCTAACTAATCTTTTTTCACAGTGTCCAGATACACCAAACCAAACTCTTTCACCTCAAATATCTGGACATGCCTCTGGTTCTTTCTCCCCCTTCACAGTTCAGCTTACAGAGCATTTCCACAGAGCTTCATTTCATACTGTTCTTCTCTCACGAAGAAGTCTCCTCTTTTCCTATGTAGGGCTTATCACAATTTATAATTAATATCCATATCTGTTCTTTCACTCAAGAACTGCTATTGAGCTCCCACTATGCTCGAGGAACAGTTTTAGACACAAGGCCTAGCATTTTGTCTTTTATTTGCGCCCTGGGTGTAAAGCCCCAGGAAGGCAATGTTTAGGCAATACCCATTACACTGGGGGTCCAGGTCCTTACTGTACACACAGAACTTAAGATGATTCTGGGACAGAGCTGATATTGAATAAATAGTATTAATGAGTTAAGCTTCTGTGTATTTTAAATTTGAGATGATTTGAGAACCTGAATCTCACTGGCTAAATTGAAGGATCAGAAGATGATTCTGTTTGACAAAGCTGAAGGTGGCATTTTTACTGTGGGGGTTGTTGGGGTCTGTTATCAAAGGAACGAGACTGAGACAAAGTGAAAGTTGTGCAAAGTGTTATTCTATACCAAGCATTAGAAGTTAGACTGACCGGACAGGGGAACAAGACTAAGACAAAGTGAAAGTTATGTAGAGCTTTATTCTATGCCAAGTATTAGAAGTCAGACAGACCGGCCAGGGCCGCCTCCGAAGAGAGTGACCCTCTCCCGATCTCACAGGCTGGTTTTATAGGGCATAACTGCAGACCCAAGGTACGTGGCTTCTATTGTTAAGGGCTTCTATTGTTAAGGCGCTTACTCCCGGAATCGACACCTGGAACTGATACCAGGAACTACTGGGGCGTTAATTCCCAGAACGAAGTCCGTGGATGTAAACAACAATATGGCTACCTAGGCAATATGGAGTTGTTCTGTCTAAGCAGGCCCTAATAGTTAAACAGGTTTTAACATTAAATTGGCCCTAACAGGGGTATGCTTCACCCTCACTGTGACTCCCTCTAGGTGAACCTGAACTTTTGAGAAAAGTCATATAGACAACAGAGGCCATAAACAGAAAGAGAGAAACTCTCGTATTTGGAGAGAGATACTGAGGACAAGCTCTGGGAGACAATCAGGTGAAGAAGGATTAGTTCATGAACTTGTGAAAAGAACATGAAACATTTTGAAGTGATTTTATAAATACATAATTTGGAAATATTAAATGAAACTGAAGTGATGAGATAATCTCATCATTAAATTTTACAAATTGATTTGAGTTTAAGTTCATCTTTTGAGAGAAGAATATTAGAGTTACAGTATTATATGTTACAGTGAAGTATATGTTAAAGCCAAAAATGGCCTTATGGACACATTTCCAAGGTATTATAAAATGGTTGCTCCTCTTTTAATATGAACAGTGTTACGCTGAATCTGAAACTCTTCAGAGGTAAGTGTATAAGACTCAAAATAGCAAAAAACTTCATTTTACATAGTGTTTTAGTTGGATTAAGGAATGGGATTTTGCTACCCAATTTTTTTCTTATTACTGTCCTAGTTTTTATAGCTTTGCCATCATATTACATTTTGAAAAGTTCATTTGTGCATTTATTGTATGACTGGCTTTCTTTTCTTCAGCTTTGCTAACCTCATACCCTTCAAGGAAGCACCTCCTTATTTAGTGTTATGTGATTATGAGTATGCATCTTTGTTCCCTTTATCCCTGCTATGCATGCTTTAAAAATAGAGTCCATGATTTCATCTCAGTGTGTCTCTACATGCTTCAGTTTTAAACAATTTGGTCTGTCCTTGATGTGGCACTCTCTCTACTTCTTGGATTATAAGGTTTTTTTTTTTTTTCAACTTAAAAAATATTTTAATTTCAGTTAGTTAACGCACACTGTTATATTAGTTTTGGGTGTATAATATAGTGATTCAATACTTCCATACAACGCCCAGTGCTCATCACAACAAATGCAGTCCTTAATCCCTGTCACCTCTTTCACCCATCCTTCCAATCACTTACCCCCTGGTAGCCGTCTTCTCTATAGTTAAAAGTTTGATTCTTGCTTTCTCTCTCTCTCTCTCTTTCTCTTATTTTTTTCCATTTGCTTGTTTGTTTTGTTTTCTTAAATTCCACGTGAGTGAAATCATATGGTATTTGTCTTTCTCCAACTGACTTATTTTGCTTAGCATTATACTCTCCAGCTCCATCTGTGTTGTTGCAAATGGCAAGACTTCATTCTTTGTGTATACAGAACACATCTTCTTTATCAGTTCATCAATTGATAGACCCTTGGGCTGTGTCCATGTCTTGGTTGTTGCAAA